AACATCAAAGCGTTAACAGACACGCGCACATTGAACATCAAAGCGCTGAATATGTCCACAACTCCGTCATCCATGCGATCTGGTTTAAGACGTACTTAAAGAACACCTGCTGTTTACATCATTTAAATGTTGCCGGGTTTTAAGTATAATTTCATTCCACTGAATCTCTTCTCTTATTGCTTCAAAGCATAAAAGTGACGTCTATCATATTTTCTTTTTCTTTTTGTTTATTTTCTAATAACAAAACCCCTCCTCATTATCAGCTTTCACACTGGGAGCAATTGTGGTTGACATATTTAAGTTAACCTGCTTGAACTATAATTCAATACGAAGATTTTTACTTAAAATGTAAATGCGTTTAAATTAGTGTATTTATGTATTTGGTTGTCACTTTTGAATCATTCTATAGTTCATTTTAATTGATCCTCAATTAATTAAAAAATTTACAAACATTCAGTGTTGTTTACCGATTAATATGAGGTCATAAAAACCACATGTAATATTTGCAGAGTAGTTGGAAGAGTTTAGTTTAATATTGTTATAATCGGATTATGTATAGAGTTCTGTCAACTCCCATGCTTTATATATGAAAAAAAAATTGTCACTTATGTACTGTATAATTGTGCACACACATGCAATAAGTCAGTGAGACAAGTCCCATGTGCCAATATTTGCAATTGCAAGCTTTATTAAAGAGAAAAGGCATGTGCTAGAATCATTTTTTAAATAATATTTTTTTCTTAGTTACCGATGAAATGATCATGTAAAGCTGTGATTCTGCTAAAGAAGGCTGTTCTCTGGTTGCATGTTAAAATTACATACAGTCATTGTAAAATAACTTCACGTTTTCCCTCCAGTTGTCTTTTAATAATTTTTGTAACTCCTCCAGGCTCTTAGGACGAGTAATCATATCATTAGTCATTTTGTTCTCGGCCCAGTCAGCTTTGGAGAGCATTGAGTTTCCTGAACTGTTGAAGCAGCAAAATGCCATCCACTTGTGAGAGGGAATATTCACTCTCTTATTCAGTGTATCATGGCCAGGCAGAGCTCCAGTCAACATGTAGGCTAAGATCTTCTTATTGTTCTTCTTGTCACGACAGTATTTATCCATCATATCTTTAATGTCTTGTTCTTTGCGAATCCAAATGCCTTTCTCTAAGTTGCTCTTCTGTGGAATGCTGTTGGTGAGTGTGAATGTAGACTTGGCAGTTTCTCGATCAGCTGCATAACGGACTGGAAATAAGTGACCGGCACTAATGTTTTGTTTGTTCTTGTCGTAGTCTCCAGTGCTAGCCTGATTGACGAATGGCTCATGCATCCCAGGACCTTTAGGTTCAAACTTAATAAAAGAAACACAGTCAACTTCATAAAATGAAGACGTAAAACAACCATTCTACATTATATATAAGATAGCAAATACATGAAGCGTTTCCATGCTACATTTGAGTCATTGTAAGAAACATCACCTGCGACTCGATCATCCAGGGAATTTTAGTTGGGTTCTTGTATTCTTGTATTCCGGTGTATTTATAAGCTGAGAAAAGAGG